TATGCCAGAAATAAAGAATATCTAAATTGGAAAATAAAGAATCAAATTCTCACAGTTCACAGATGACATGATTTTATATATTGAAAAGCCCCAAAACTCCATCAAAAAACTATTAGGACTAAGAAACAAATTCAACAAAGCTGCAGGACACAAAAGCAACCTATAAAAATCAGTAGTAGTGCTACATGCCAGAAGTGAATTATCTGAAACAGAAAACAAGAAAGCAATTCCATTTAGTGTAGCTAAAAAAATAATATTAATAAATTTACCCAAAGAGGTGAAAGACCTCTAGAATGAAAGTTATTTATGAAAGAATTTGAAAAGGATACAAAAGAATAATGGAAAGAAATCTCATGCTCATGGTTGAAGAATGGATATTGTTAAAATGTCATACGATCCACAGAAATATATAGGTTCAATGCTATTCCTATCAAAATACCAACAACATTCTCTACAGAACTAGAAAAAGACAATTCTAAAATTTATGTGAAAACACACACACATACACACACCAAAAAAAAAAAAAAGATCCCAAATTGCCAAGGCCATCTTGATCTAAAAGAACAAAGTAGGAGACTATCTGACTTCAAAATGTTTGAAATATATTTGTTAATTGTAAAAATCCTATAATTTGAAATGCATGGAAAAAATTGTTGAAAATCACTATGCTCTTTGGAAATTCAATTAAGTAATATTTTATCATTTAATAACTTTGAATGTATTTTCAATCTTAAACTACTTTATATACTGTTTTAGAAAAGCCTTCTAAAAGATAGTATACATATGAATTATAAATTTTATTATTGTGAGCAACCATTCATATTTTTCTTATATCAAAATGTTTGTTGAACAGTTTTTCAGGTGTGCAAGTGAACAGATAGATAGATGTAACCTAATGTAACAGCTTCCAGTAGGAATACTAAGAGAAAATGTGGATTTTTGTGGAATTTATAACACCAGCGACAGGATTTGTTGCTCAAATTCTCAAACCAAATGTGTTAGAAAACACTAAAAAGAAAAAGACAATTATTGTGTAATTATAGAATTTAAAAACAATCAACAATAAGATATTCTCTTGTATATGTCTTCCTAATTCCATGATGCATTTTGAATGTTCCTCAAACTGGTTCAAGCCAGTCTTAACTTTATGATACAAAATTTCATGTTACATTACCACTTGATTTGTTTAATATTTACCCATTAAATCAAAACACTTTATGGTTACAATTATTTAGTTAACAGTCAAGATTCTTAACAGGTCACTATATTCAAACATATATCACACCAAAGCTCATGTTCAAGCTCATTTTCTTCTTTCCACATATATTTTCCCAGCATCTAGTACGTTACCTTTATGTCCACTATTTGTTATAAAAATAAAAAGATTATAATGGAAAAATTAGAAATAACTGGTCAATTAATAAAATAATGGTAATTCATAGAGGAGCAAGTCTAAAACTGTTGTGGGTAAATTAAGTAACATTTAGATTCATTAGTGATTAGAAGTGCAAATTAAAACAAGAATGCAATATTATTTCTCATCATATTAAAAAAAAAGTATGAAAGCCAGAAAATGCCATGTGTTGAATGGATATAGGATCAGGAGACCCTGACCTCTCCCAGGAAGATCATACTTGCTAGATGGGTTGCTCCAGCTTATTCCCACTCTGTGATGTGTGAATGCTATTACTAGGATGAGATGAGAAAAAGAGCTTGTTTATTAAAGGTGTAATTATCTTAATGAGATTAAAGAATGCAACTGTTTCAGAAGGCAATCTGGAAGAAATTAGTTAAATTAAACATACAAATGCCCAGACATCCCCTTCTTGAGTATTTGTGGAATTAGAAAAGCTGGGCCTTGGGAGTGTAGGAATGCTAATGATGGAAATAGTTGGCAAAAGAAACAGAACACACCTGGTGTTGATGCCAGAAGGTGAATCCATCTTAATATCTTTGGCAGGTAAAAACAAGTGAGAAACAGGATCTGGTACATAGAGCAATGCCATGTATGTGGACTTCAATGATATGCATGTAAAATTATAGTATATGTTTTACAAATAAATAGCAGGCATTACATAAAATAGTTGCCAAGAAGGGAACTGAAGAAGAAAATAAGAGAAAATGAATGAGTTAATAAATGAATGAATGAATGAAAAATATAAGCAGGAAGAGAAAAGCTAGAATGAACCAATAGAATGGTGGGCTATAAAATGAGGATTTGATGTGTGTGGGGGTCCAGAACAGAAATGAGAATTCTAAAGTAAATTCAAACACACACACATTTATTTATATAGATTTATGTGTGTGTGTGTTTGTGTGTGTGTGTTATATAGTATTTTGGTAACTTCAGAAGTCCAATACATTCAGGGGTCCAAAAACTTTAGGGGTCCAACAAATTATTCATATCAGTTATACTAATTACACATTCACTTTTATGTTAGGCTGTGTTAATATGTGAGAAATATATAGATACATTTTATTCTATTTTGACAAATATAAT